CTGTAGGAGCAAGGTGCACTGAGACCAAATTGAGGCCCCAGTATTCCTGCCTTGCTGAAACTGCAGTAGAAATGAATGGGTGCTGGGAAGAGGAAGTGAGCCTCTACCTTTCCTGGCTTTAGCCTCTGCTACACAGATCTGGGAGGAGGAGAACTGCTGGCAGCAGTAGGGAGATGCTGTAGCACTTGCCTGGGAGCTGGAGGGCAGGGGGGCGGGGCAGCAAATTGTAGCTCAGATGCCACCGAGATTTGCTGTTTTTACTGAAATTTAGTATGTTTTCTTGAAAAAATGGTTTATTCTAGACCCTTATACATTACTTTCTAAAATTTTTTATTGAAATATACCTAACATACAATATTATACTAGTTTTAGGTGTTTAACAGTGATTTGGCAGTTCTGTACATTAATCGTAGCTCCCACCACATTAAGTGTATAGTCACCGTCTATCACCATAAAATGTTATTATTGACTACATATCTTTGCTGTATTTCTCATCTCTCTGACTTTATTTTGTAACTGGAAGTTTCTATCTCTTAATCCCCTTCATCTATTGTGCCCTTTCTTCACCTCCCTCCCCTCTAGCAACTACCAGTTTGTTTTCTGTATTTATGACTCTTTCCCTGTTTGTTGTTGTTTCTTTTGCATTTTAGATTTTACCTGTAAGTGAAACCATATAGTATTTGTCTTTCTTTAACTTCTTTCACCTAGCAGTGTCTATCCATGACGTTGCAAATGGCAAGATCTCCTTCTTTTTAAAGACTAATATTCCATCGTGTAATATTCCACATACCACATCATTATCCATTCATCTGTTGACAGGCAGTTGGGTTACTTCCATATCTTGGCTATGATAAATAATGCTGCAATAAACACGAGGGTGCGTAGATCTTTTCAATTAGTGTTTTCGTTTTTTGGGGGGCAGATACCCAGTAGTGGAATTACTGGACTATCAGGTACTTCTAGATTTGATTTTTGGAGAAACCTCCATACTATCTTCCACAGTGGTTGCACCATTCTACATTCCCACCAACAGTGCACAAGGGTTTCCTTTTCTCCACATCCTCACTAACACTTGTTATTTATACTTTTTTGGATACTTCCCATTCTGACTGTTGTGAGGTTCACTGTGGTTTTTGATAGAATTTTCCTGATTAGTGATGTTGTGCATCTTTTTATGTGTTGGCCATCTGAATACCTTTAGAAAAATGTCTATTCAGGTCACCTGCCTAGTTCTTAACTGTATTGTTTATTTGTTGTTGTTGAGTTGTCTAAGTTCCTTGTGTATTTTGGGGATTAACCCCTTACCAGATGTATCATTTACATATTTCTTCTCCCATACAGCAGCCTGCCTTTCATTTTGTTGATGTTTTCCTTTGCCGGGCAAAATCTTTTTATTTTGATGTAGTCCAACAGTTTATTTTTGTTTTGGTTTCCCCAGCCTCAGGAGACATACCCATAAATATGTTGCTTATGTCAATGTCCAAGATATTACTGTCTATGTTTCCTTTTGGAGTTTTAGGTATCATATTTTTAGGTCTTTAATGTGTGTGTGTGTGTGTGTAGGATGGCAAAAAGTGGCCCAGTTTCATGCTTTCACTTGTAGCTATCCAGTTGTCCCAGCACCACTTAATTGAAAAGACTTTTTCTCTATTATTTTTTTCTTGCCTTCTTTGTCATAGATGGACCTTATTTCTGGGCTGTGTCCTGTTCCATTGATCTATATATCTTTTTTAGTGCCAGTACCACACTGTTTTGATTACTATAGCTTTGTGTAGTATATCTGAATATTCAAGGATTGTGAAATATTGAATTCCAACTGTGTTCCTTTCTCAACATTACTTTGTCTATTTGGGGTCATTTATAGTTCCATACAAATGTTAGGATAATGTGTTCTAGTTCTTTGAAAAATGCTGTTGGTATTTTTGACAGGGATTGCACAGAATCTGTATATTGCTTAGGGGAGTATGGACATCAAGAAAGTGGGATACTGGCATATATATGTCAGTATGTATACCAGCCTGCTTGTCTATACATCTATCTGTGTCACTAGATCAGAGCTGAGTTTCCAGTAAACTCTCACATGTATTGTCATGTGTCTTTCAACAAGAATGCCAAGACCTAAAGAATAGTCTTTTCAACAAATGGTGCTGGGACAAGTGGAGCAATGGGGAAAAAAACCTCACCAAAAATCCAAAGTTGGATCACTTCCTCACATTGTACATAGAAATGAATTCAAAATGGATTATAGAGACGAATGGATCAAGAAGATGTGGTTTATCTATACCATGGAATACTACATGGCAATGAGAAACTATGAAATCTGGCCATGTGTAGCAACATGGATGGACCTTGAGGGTGTTATGCTGAGCGAAATAAGTCAGGCAGAGAAGGACATATATCATATGTTTGCACGTATAGGAGGATTAGGAGGAACTTGACAGAGGAACAAGGGGGAGAAGAAGGGGGGAAATGGTGGGGGAAAGGGAGAGAGGCAAACCATGAGAGACTCTTGAATGCTGAGAACAAACTGAGGACTCATGGGTGTGTGTGTGGGGGGGGGGAGATGGGCATAGAGGGGATGAGCTTGTGGGTGTTATATGGAAACCAACTTGACAATAAACTATTTGTAAAAAAAAAACAAAAACATTATAGATCTAAATGTAAGAGCTAAATTGTTGCAGTCTTAGAAGAAAACATAGGAGTAAATATTCATGATGTTGTATAAGACAGGCCTTTTTAGATATACCACCACCAAAAGCACAAGTGAGAAAAGGAAAAGTAGGTTAAGTAGACTTAATCAAAATTAAAAACGCATGTACTGAAAAATAAACCATCCAAAAAATGTCAACCCATAGAATGGGGGAAAGATATGTGCAAATAATAAATCTTAAAAAGGATTTATAGTCAAAACATATAAAGAACTCTTACAACTTCACAATAAAAAGACCATTTAAAAAAATGGCCAAAGGATCTGTGATAGTCCATTCTGGCTACTATAACAAAATACCAGTCTGGGTGGCTTATAAACAACAGAATGTTCAGGGCCCTCTTCCAGGTTGCAGAATTCTCATTAATCCTTTCATATGACAGAAGGGATGAGGGAACTCTGGTACCCCCCCCCCTTTATTTTTATAGACACTAATCCTGTCATGAGGACCCTGCCCTCATGACCTAATTGCCTCTCAAAGGCCTCCCCTCCTAATACCATTACATGTGATATGAGCTCTTTCAACAGTTTTGGGGAGATGTATTCAGACCATAGCAGGATCTGAATAGATAGTTCTTCAAAGATGTTATACAAATGGCCAAAAGCAAATGAAAAGATGCTCGATATCACTAGACATCAAGGAAATGCAAACCAAAACCACAAAGAGAAACACTTCCCACTCAGTAGGTAGGCCATAATCTAAAGGATCGGACACTTATAAGTGTTGGTGAGGATATAAAGAACAGTGTAGCTACTTTGGAAAAAAGTTTCATAGGTCCTCAAAATGGTAGAGTATTCATAAGACACAGCAGTTGCACTCTTGAGTATAAACCCAAAAGAAATGAAAACATACCTATGTATAAAAATTTGTGCATTGTGCTTAGCAGCATTTTCTTAATAGCCAAATAATGGAAACCACCTAAATGTCCGTCTACTCATAAATGGATAAAGTATGGCATATCCATACAGTGGAATCTTTAAAAATAAAAGTAATGAATACTGATACATACTACAACATGGATTAATTTGAAGTACAATAGAAGAAGCCAGTCACAGAGTCTAGAAATTTGATTCCTTTTATATGAATATCCAGAATAGGCAAATTGGAGACAAAGTAGATGAGTGGTTGTCTAGGGCTGAAGGGCTGGGGAGATAGAGGAGGGGCTGCTAATAGATAGGAGGTTTCTTTTGGGGATGATAATTTCTGAAATTGTAGTGATGGTTGTAAAACTTAATGAAAATAATGAAATAATGAAAATCACTGAATTGTACACTTTTAATGGGTGAATTGAATGGTTTGGGAATTATATCTCAATAAAAGTGTTAATTAAAAACTAAATGAGAAACAGTAAAGTTGCAGATTATACTTGGGTTAGGTTCTAAAATCACAGCATAGCATAAAAACCAAATATATTCAAAGGTCATGATATAGCAGGTAGAAGAGCTAGAATTCAAAACCTGTAAGAGCCAGTATCTCCTCTTATAACAGAGAACTTTGCTATTTCTTTGAACAGAAATGAAGTATTACTAGGTACCTTTACTAAGAGGTTGTGTTGTATGAAAAATACAACAGCTTGTTTTATGACAGGGATTCTAAATGAGGCTGGTTAGGGAGCTACTGGGTACATATTCCCATCTCAACTAACATAGGTATAAATAAAACTGTACAGTTGCTGGGATTACCTGCAGTATTATAAAGTTTTCGTTTTATTCTGGGTCAAGCACACTTTGTTGATTTTTGTGTATTTTGAATGTCAGCGTGATTCAATTCCAGTATAATACTGAAGCATTTTTATAATCCATGAAATCTGTATAAATATTCTTAATTCTGGGATTGCCTTTGTATCAATTAGGATTATACTCTGCTATATTTAATAGCAAATAACGGAGGTTTAAACAGATAAAGATTATTCTCTCCCATAAAGAAGTTATGAAGTAGACACTCCAGGTCTGGTAAGCAAATCCTGTCATCAGGGACCCAGGTTCCTTGTGTTGTGTCTTACTTTTCCGTCAGTTAAGGTTGCTTTATGGTTACAAGATTGCTGCTGGAGTACAAAGTATCACATCCCAGCCTGAAGCAGGAATGCCTACCTTCAGGAGAAAGGAAAAGAGACAAGCCTTTCCTATCTGAAGAAAGAAGGAAAAACATTTTGTAGCTGGTCACACTGACACATAAGTTTACTCTTATGGGGGAGGTGATGTTAAATAGAAAACTAGAAAATGCCACAGTTCTTGAAAAAGGCCTTTTTTTAAGTAATTAGAGTATTCTTACTTACTGTGTTCTTATTACTAGATTCTGAAAAGAAATCGTCTCTCCTGTCAGAGGAACAAGAAGCAACAAGCACTTTAGTAGAAACCATCAGGCAGAGTATTCAACATAATGATGTTCTTAAGCCCATTAACCTACTTTCACAGCGAATAGAGCCAGACATGAAGAGACAAAGGTAATAATTGTTTTTGCTTTGTGCCATTCACAGTAATTTCATGTTTAAGTATTTTTTAAAAAATATCTCTAGTTGTTAAAGACGCATACTCAGTGTAGAACACCTGTTTTGAAAAGTGCTACCCAGATTTTCCTTTCATACGTTAGCAAACCTAACAAAAGTTCTGGTTTGGAGGAACAGATTCAGTTTTAGGAGGTAATTCATGAATGTCTAAACTGTACTGTGTCTTTGGGAACCATTACTGCTATTCACTGGAAACCTTCTATGAATTTGTTAACAGTGACATTATATATATGTACTGCTCGTTCAGGCCGTGTCATATCTGCGCATCTTAAATTTTCTTTTCTTGTGCGACGTTAACAAAACTGTTTAGGAGTAGAAACAACTTAGGAAAGTGATGGAAACCGTGAATTACAAAGGATAAGGGGCTTTTCTGCTCCTGCTAACATGCTTAGATCAGTACTCATCCCAGTCTCCACATCAGTCAGTTTTGTAGTGGAAACTTCAGAAAAGTGACATCACTTCTACCAGTCACTAACAGTTTCCAGGTACTCTGCAAGTTTCTTTGGTTGTGGTATCTTTGAAGATAACTTCAGAAGTGATAGGGCAGGAGTTGATTATGAAAATGGATGGATCTTTTGTAATCTCAGCAGTGGAGATAGAGATGACCTTCACAGTCTACAGAGCAGCTAGTTTCAAGCGTTTATAGTTTAACGGGGTGGGGAAGGATAATTAGAAATGAGATGTTATGGCTTCTGAAGCTTCTAAAGAAAGCTCTATGATGAAGCTTTATCAGAATCAACAATCTGTAATTTTTTTGTGTTAAAAATACTCAGAAATCAATTCATTTCCTAAGCGTTCCTTCATTTTTAATAACTGAGCTATGAAAGTTCATTTTTAAGGTGTGATTTGTGACAGTTTTATGTTCACAAACCAAATAAATACAGTTTATCCTTTATTGGTGGATTAAATAGTAGAGAGACCACACCACCCTTCACACTGTGTCCAAGGGTTTTGGACTCCTAGCTTACTTAAAAATTGTTACTTTGTCAAGCAACAAAGATAAGAGAAGACCCTGCTTTTGCAAATTTTAATTGGAAAGTAGTTGACCCTTGAATGACCCTATATGTAATTGATAATCTGCGTATATAATTTTTGACTACCCCAAAACCTAATAGCCTGCAACTGAGCAGATGCCTTATGGATAGCATTTTGCATATTGTATTATATACTGTGTTTCTACAATAAAGTTACTAAAGAAAATGTTACTAAAAATTTATAAGGAAAATACCTTTACAGTTCTCTGCTATATAGGAAAAAACAAACTGTGTGGGTGACATTCAGTTAAGTGTCCAGCTTGAGCTCAAGTCGGGATTTCACGGTTCATGAGTTTGAGCCCCACATGTGGCTCTGTGCTGCTGACAGCTCAGACCCTGAAGCCTGCTTCATATTCTGTGTCTCCCTCTCTTTCTCCCCCCTTCCTCCTCTGGTGATCTGTCTCTCTCAAAAATCAACATTTAAAAAATTAAAAAAAAAAAAAAGATTGTAGATAGACCCATGGAATTCAAATCCATGTTGTTCAAGGGTCAACTGCATATTGTGAAAATATAAAGGTAAGCCATTTAAAATAGTTTTTGGTGTGAAGCTTTATGCCTGTAACTTTTTTTTAATGTTTTATTTATTTCTGAGAGAGAGACAGTGTGAGCAGGGGAGGGTCAGAGAGAAAGGGAGACACAGAATCTGAAGCAGGCTCCAGGCTCTGAGCTGTCAGCACAGAGCCTGACGCGGGGCTGGAATCCACGAACTGTGAGATCATGACCTGAGCCGACGTCGGACGCTTAACTGACTGAGCCACCCAGGCGCCCCTATGCCTGTAACTTTTTAATTTGAAATAGAAATTTAGTGTTGCAAGAGTAGCAGAGTTCAGTGTACTCTTCACCCAACTTCCCCCAAAGGTGACATCTCAGAACTGTGGGGTGATATTAAAACCAGGACACTGACATGGATACATTGTTGTTAACCAGAGAGCTTAGTAATTGTTCACCATTTTAAAAAATGTTCATGGGTGTTTTTAGCTCTTTGTGCATTAACTTTAAAAATACTTGTTTTATAGGAGTTTATACCGAGAAATCCTCTTCTTATCATTAGTGTCTCTTGGAAGAGAGAATATTGATATTGGTAAGTTGGTTAATTACTAAAGCAGGTTTTTTCATTTAATGAAGTAATATACACAGTTGTAATTGGTATGGGGAAATACTCCACTTTCCAAAGGATTTCTATTTTTAAATACGCAGTGTGTGTGTGTGTGTGTGTGTGTACACTTTGACTGTGTTTTTGAAAATTATCTTTCAGAGGCCTTTGACAATGAATATGGACTTGCATACAATAATTTATCTTCAGAGATTCTCGAAAAGTTACAGAAAATTGATGCTCCACCAAGTATCAGTGTGGAATGGTGCAGGAAGTGTTTTGGAGCACCGCTCATATAAGTAAGAGGTTCACTAGATTTCTAGATGCACAAAGATTGAGGGAATAGATTGAGTTGGCGAACAGCTAAGGTTCCAAATGTTAACAATTGATGAAAGTGAAATGAAGTGAACTCTTGGGACAGTATATAATGAAATGTAGCACATACTGAATCCTCTTGCAACGTAAAAATGTTGTTCAATGTCCCAGGGTTAATGTCTGAAGGTCTGCAACTTCTAAATGGTTTTATCTGCCTCCGCTTGAAAACCATGTTTGGATTTTTCAGTATATGTAGTTTGATAATGAGAAATTGTATTACTTTTTGGCATTCTGTTTATATTTGAAGTTACTGGGTTTGGGGAACAGTAATTTAATGTAAACTTGCGTAACCCCAAAACAAATGAAATCTCAGTTATAAGAGCAACTATTTGTGTATGTGTGTACATATGTGGCTGTGTAGGTATTTGTATGTACAGCCATATTATATTTATTAAAATTCTTAGACTGCATGTTGCAATACAATTCTCTGAAAGGGGTCTGCAACTATTAAGTGACTACTACTAAACTCCTCTGTAGTCATTAATCAAAATTACCTTAAAGTTTGATGACAACCACCTTGCCTCTATTTCTTTATCCACCATATTATGTATTTTCTTCCTTAATGGATTGTAGCTTGAATATCCAAGTTACTTTTCATCCTCTTTCCAATACCATTAACTTACAACAGCTTTAAGATTGGAATAAATAAGCCAATCATGTAGTTTAAGTGAAATTAAGTCAGCCTCATAATTTACAAAATTGGAATATGCTTAAAATGCTGTTTATTTTTTGGACCTGAAATTGTTCAGGTACGTAAATTGTTGCCATCAGTCACTTTTAAAAACCTGTGGGATAAACTTGCACTGCACACAGAAATTTTATTCTTGTATAATAGATTTGTATGCTTATTATTTGTGCATTTGTAAATACTGTTTTTTAGGATTGATCAATTAAGTCTTATAACATTAAAGCTTATTGAGCTCATTGCCAGTAGGTTCAAGAAAATCATGACCTCACATGCCTGGCATTTATCATGCCTTTCATTAAAAATGTCCCTTAGGAATAGTATGTTTGCCTTAACTCTCTGCATGGTTTAAAAAGCCAATGGTTATGTGTGCGCTTTTAGAGTAATTATGCAGATGACTAAATCAACTGATTAAAAATTATTTCCATTACAAATCTCCCACCTGGTGTAATCTTTAAAAACTCATTGCTATACCAGTCTTCCAACATTTCAGGGTTAATCTGACCTATGCAGATGTCATTTCAATTTATTGTGAAAGTGCTAAATGAAAGAACGTGTCAGAAATTATGCACAACTCTCATTACCTTAAAGTGGATCATTTGCACTGTCTCAAGAGTATATTTGTTTTGCAACTTTACACTGCCCCATAACGTTTGGAATTATTCTGTATATAAAAACTCCAGGTTGAAGAAAATGAAAAATTCTTAAGTTTGCTGTGCTAATCTGTCATGTGTGTATAATTGTAACCTAAACTTTATTTTTAGAATTCCAATACCATTTTTTGATTTCTCCTCTTTAGTCTTCATTTTTAAGTGAATTACTTCAAAAGCACTTCCTACTAAGGAGTTTAATGAACATCTCTTTACACATGTAAGATTTGGCTATATTGCACCAAAGTATACATTTTCTATTTTTCTAATTCTAAATAACTCAAGCCTTTATACAATGGAAACCTTAGCCTGCTGCTGTCACTTAGAAATAGGGATCAATTTGTTAAAAAGTGCATAAAGACCTTTTCTAGCACCTACCACAGAAAGGGGACCACTAAAAATGCACTGCAAAAGAAAACCAAGAAACCAGATACACAGTCATTACCCATAGATTTAAAAATGTTTAGAATGACTTGTAGCATTGTATAAAACTTAAAATTAAAGGCCGGAGGACTCCTGCAAATAATCTCTCAAATCAGTGCAGATTGTTTAGCATTACCTAAATGCTAAACCGTTAGCATTTGGGGTGGACAGTCTGATACAACTTTAGCTGTGCTTTGTTAGGGTTAACTAAGGAGTGTTAAGCAAGCAGAATATAGGCATAAAGGTCTCAGAATACTGAGATATTCCAACTGTTGCTCTTTTCATTCCTGGTACAAACTTGTAATGCAGGATAGAACATTCTTACTATTGAAATATTCTCCAACATGCCTTTTAAAAAGTAGTTCTCAATCTTAAATCTTCTATAGTTAGTGAGCTGGAATAGTCTAACCCATCCATTATCTGTCCATGTTAGTGACTGTACTCCTTAATGAGAAAGCAGAGCAGTGGTTCTCGTTTCTTATGTTGGAATCAATCAAGTACTTGTTAATACAAACTCTGAGCTGTATACCAGACTTGCCTCCTGGCTTTTTTAAGTTACCCCCTATGATGGCACTGTGATTCCTTTTTGTTTGGGGTCATCATTTAAAAATGTCCCATTTTCCTTTTCTGCCTTTTTAGTTTGACCTCAACTTCCAAAATATCAATTGCCAAACAAGACTTTCATCTAATGTTTTAGTACTCTGTTAAGAGCAAGGAGGATCTCACTTTCGACTAAGAATCTTGTGTCTGTTCCAGTCTAAGGGCTGGCATTAGCTGGAAACTTACAAGTAATACAGATGCTGGGGCTCCAAACTTCTGATTCATTGCACATTTTAATCGTGAAGCACTGCTCCTGTTAAAGCAGTTTGAAAATTTTACTCACCTGTGGTTGAAACGTATACTCCAGCAAATAAGGACTCCTGTTCTTCACCCTTAAAAGCCTAATGTGCCTTTTAACGATCCTTCTAATGTGTGAAGGTTGGTTCTAACTGCAACTACTATAGTAACTAGACAAGCTACATTAGAAAAAGGATGCTACTTAACCAGTGTGCATCTTCTGTTGATAGGAAGGTTTCTTAAAGGCACACTGAAACCATAAAAAGGATGAGTAACAATTCACTAGAGGTGAAAAGCTTTTTGTTAATACAACTTGCACTGGTTTTAAAAGCTTTGTGAACTGTTTTAAAATGATATCCGTTAACTATGCTTTTAACAAGGTTATCTTTTTTACATATGACAAATGTCCATGTTCATAAGGGCACTTTTCGTGTATTGTATATAGATCTTTAAAACTGTATTCCTCAAAATAAAGCATACAAAAGATTAATAGTGTGTCCTTTATTTCCCCCAAGTTGTTCCATGCCTCACTGAAAAAGCAGCAGACATTCCGCTCAGCATCCTTTCCTGAGCTACCCTCCCCCCCAACCCTGTCCTGGCCATCTCTCCCAGTCAGTGTGGTCTCAGCCTCTCAACTTGAAGGTATCTCTTGCACACTTCATACACCATCAGATGGACACTACTCTCCATTTATGTTTTCTTAGTAGGAATGAAAAAAAAATAAAGGTAGTTTGATGTCTGATCTTATAAATTTATTTGTTCCTCTTAAAACAATCTCATTTTTGACTGGACTCAGACTTTGAGGTAGAAGCTCTCAGCGAAGACAGCCTCCGTCTCTTGGCAATCTGTTCTTGGCGTTTTTCTTTGGCCTCCTAAACAAAACAACAGTTACAGTTTGTCTGGCTTAAAAATGGAAATCCAAAGTGAGACTGGACTCCCCCGCCAGGTATCGTGACTTACCTTCATTCTCTTGGCCAAAAGCTTAGCATATTCTGCAGCCTCTTCCTTGTTTTTCTTTGTGCGCTGCTTCTTTAAAGCAATGCGCCGACGCTTGTGTTGGAGGACACGTGGAGTGACAAGACGCTGAATCTTCGGTGCTTTGGTTCGAGGTTTCTTACCTGAAAATTCAGACAAGAATTCCATCACTTTTCAAGAACACCCTTGTTCATTAGGATCCACATCTACAGTTTTATTTTTTTGGTAGACAAGCATTTTTTTTTTTTTTTAACAAATAGTTTGTCAAGTTGGTTTCCATGTAACACCCAGTGCTCATCCCCACCAGTGCCCTCCTCCATGCCCATCTCCCCCCTACCCCCCCACCCATGAGTCCTCAGTTTGTTCTCAGCATTCAAGAGTCTCTCATGGTTTGCCTCTCTCCCTTTCCCCCACCATTTCTCCCCTTCTTCTCCCCCATGGTCCTCCGTTAAGTTCCTCCAAATCCTCTTATATGTGCAAACATATGGTCTTTGTCCTTCTCTGCCTGACTTATTTCGCTCAGCGTAACACCCTCAAGTTCCATCCATGTTGCTACACGTGGCCAGATTTCATTGTTTCTCATTGCCATGTAGTTTTCCATCATATAGATAAACCACATCTTCTTGATCCATTTGTCCGTTGATGGACACCACATCTATATTTTTAAAACATGACTAACGGGAATACCTAGGAAAACTTAGCTGTATGAAGCCTTAATCTGAATCTGAACTACTGTGTAATTTAAAATACTACCCCGTCAAACAAAAAGACAAGATAGGCTATATTCTTTAAATATAAAGTAACAGTTAAGTCTTCCTGGAAAGTGAACTAGGTCTACTAGATGCCAGGGTTTTCCTGATTAGTGCACTTAATCCTAAAACAGCCTGTTCAACTAACAACATTACGTAATTTGAACATCAAATTCAAGAATGTATGTAGATTCATGTTACTCTGCCTAGGGAAAGCCCTACTCCAAGCTTTTTTCTAAGTCAATTTTGATTTCCCTTCCACAGTCAGATTGTTCTTGTAGAGTATTCTACGGTTGTTTTTTACTGTAAGACACAAGAGCATTATTTTCAAACTGGTAACTGTGCGTGTCTAACTCCTCTATGAAAATGAAGCAGAACTCTTATCTGCACTGATACCCTAACCACACTTTGAAATACCATTTTGTGCTTGATTCTAGTATTTGCCAAGGCAGATCCTGCCAACCTGGGGAATGAAACCATGTACATTACAATGTGTAGCATATCGAACTTAGAATATCTTCATTTAACTGGTGTCATCTATGAATCCCAAATCCTACAAATTATAGATCTGTTTTGGAGAAGCCTTTTCAGATGTAATCACTGGAGTTTCTGGACAACTAGTGGGATTAACAAACAGCTAAGGCAAATATTCTAAAGGGAAATGCCCAATTGTTCAGGTTCTCCTGCCACAACTCAACCCCTTAATTATAAAGACTTAAAAACCATATTATAAGCCCCTGTTAACTAGAACACTTGCTACACTGGCAGTATGTCCAGGGGTGTGATTATGGGAAACTGCCATGTATCTGCCTTTTCTGTGAACTTCAGAAGAACTTGTTCTTTTATACTACACCCTCTACACTTAAACCAGTACCTGGCACAGAAGTGTTCAAATATTTGAGTGACCCATAAGCACTTACTGTATGCCAGGAACCACTTTTCAGATTTGTCGGGAAACCCCAACCTGAACTGATATCCTCTTTATCACACATAATGTAAATACTATTACACTTGACTATACACATAACTATAACAAACATACTGTTACAGAGCACAAGTGCCACAGACCTCACTGTAATGGACTGTTATCTAACCGTGTATCTAATATATACCATCTTAACATATAAAACTTCAAAAACCCAAACACCTGATCCTAGTATTTTGAACAAGGTGTTTTTTTCTTCTAATGACCACAATTCCTATTATTGCCATCCACAGCTCAGATTGAGAAAATAAGGGCCAGAGGCACCTGGGTGACTCAATTAAAGTGTCAGACTCTTAGTTCAGCTCAGGGGATGGTCTCATGATTAATAGGATTGTGCCTCAGGTAGGGCTGTGCACTGACAGTGCAGAACCTGCTAGGGATTCTCTCTGCCCCTTGCCCACTATCAAAATAAAAAAACCTTTAAAAACAGTTTTGCCTTAAAAAAAGGGGGGGGGGGTGCGAAGAAGTTAAAGCAAGTTCAGTTGACAAAACATAGCATTCTTCTATGAACACCAGAAATCCTATTATGTAAAGAAAGCAAAAGTGTGTGGGAGTGAGAGCATACTGAATCCTAGTCCCAGAATTTTCTATCCATTTCTGACTCCTAAACCCAAAGCCATGAACTTCACATGTGATACAAGTTATTTTCAGATAGACTTAATACATCAATAACCCAAGCCAAATTCCAAGTATGCTTCTAGAGAAGCACCAGCTATAACAAGGATTAATACCAAGTGGCTGTTTTGAGCCTCTCCCCCAGTTTTCCCAAAAAAGCTTAAACCCCAGGCAAATACATAGCAGGCAGACTTTACCTTCTTACTACGCATACAAGATGCTACAGACAAGTGCAACGGAGCAAACTCTAAACTGCATAACCTCCCCTACCTTCTTTGTTTAGGGGCTTTCTCACAACATACTGGCGAACATCATCTTCCTTTGAGAGATTGAAAAGCTTGCGGATTCTGCTAGCTCTTTTGGGCCCCAGGCGACGAGGCACAGTAGTATCAGTGAGTCCAGGAATATCCTTCTCCCCTGAAAGGAGAAAGTGATCAAAAACCTTTTTAACTCCACAATTCTTACAAAAAAGAACCCTAATTACTGTTTACGCACCAGTAAAGAAACAAGTCCACTGGTCAAACTGGACACCGCAAATGAAAAACATCTGGCAATCAGGTTTTAAATCAATGTCAACAAAAACTGAACACAAAAACACAAGGAAACTTCACCTTTTTTCACGATGACCAAGTTGAGAACACTGAGATTGGCATCCACAATGCAACCCCGGACAGATTTGCGCTTTCTTTCTCCAGTCCTCCGTGGTCGGTAGCAGGAATGCCCCTTACTCAGCAGTAGGCGGACGCGGCCATGGGTCAAGACACCCTGCTTCATGGGGAAGCCTTGTTTGTCATTGCCACCACTGATTCGGACCACATAACCCTGTAAAATACAACGGCACGTTGCAAAATAAAAGATTATAGCCCTTATGAAGTAAGCATACTCCAAATCCTAGAAGTATGCTAAAACCAATCTGAAACTTGTGGTTTTCTCTGGTTACTAAGTTTTGTCTTTATTTCCAATTTGCCAAGATTAGCAAATTCCTATCAGTCAAGTCCTCTTTCTAACCGGTTTTCTTTACTAGATGTAGCAGCTCCAGGGAGGGAAAGACTGTTAAGAAACCACAGTAGAACCAACAAGTAAACCAAAAACCCTGTTGGCACGGTTTAAAGATACCCTTTGGAGATTATTAGCTTGCAGGACAAGAACTTTGGGTATATTTTCCCATGTAATCTACATAACCCTAAAAGGTGATAGCTTTACCTGAGAAGGACACACTTGCAAGTAACTAACCCAAGGTCAGAAGACAGAACCCCGAGTTTGAACCACACTACGTGCCCCAATTACCAACAGCGTTAACTATCTCCTAAATGAATAATTTAATTCAATAGTCAACTTTTACCTTCCACTCTTCCCCTAAAGCATCAGCAGCAACTTCTGTAGCCATTCGCTTCTCATAAAATGTACGAAGCTTGCGTTCATCGTCCACTTCAATGAGTTTCTGGCAGCCAGTAGCTGGGAAAGAGATGTTCAGCTAAGGATTAAGGGGAGAAGAGAGCTTTAGAAAACCGCAGAACTTACAAAGGTAATTTCCGTTGCAAAAAAAAAAAAAAGCCTTTCATGTATCTCTCAGACAACGAGCAGAGGCTTTTACTAGCCAAAACGAGTGTACAGACAACACATAAGCACCACGCTACATATCGGGCTAATTTTTCCTCAAGCATCGCCGGATGACCTCGGGGCGAAGGGCCCTCCGCAGCCAGGAGGCCTTTCAGAGCAAGGAGCCGCAGTTACCAGCCGGAGCTAAGCAGCGGGGCCATTATCTGTCTGTCTGGGCGTGAGGACGCAACCATGGCGCTCCCCGCCCTGCGCGGCTCCAGTTGTAATCGCTCGCCATCCGCTCTCCCAAGAACCCCCGGACCCAAGAATGGAGAGCTTTCTCCCGCACCAGACCTTCCTCCGCTTAGAGCTAGGATTTTGGAAAGCGGAGACTGCGGCAGTGCGGCGTTCTGAGGCACGATCCACGTTCCCCAATCCTATTCCAAAAGCCTCCACCACTTCCTACCTTCATCTTGAAGCTGCCTACCGCCTCCGAGGCGCCACGAAAAAGAGGCCCGACTTCCGCTTAGCCCACGTCTCATAGGCACTTCTAGTTCTCGCGAGGTTAGAGGACTCCTGGGATAGCGGAAGTGAGCGTAGGTGGGCGGGACTTCCGGAGCCAGGCTT